GTTAAGAAATTGTACCAACGTGCCCCACTTTGGGCCATGGGTCTGTTACTCTTAACTTTGATACAGAGGATATTAGGTTGTCCAATAGTGAATTGTGTAAGACTAGGAATATTTGAATAATAAGAGTAATGCAAAGGCTGAGTTAAGACTTCAGGGAGTCTATGGTGTTACTCAGCTCAATATGGAAGAAGAAGCTTCGTCCCTCTGCTGCTGCTCCTCGATCTCCAAGTATCGCTGCGGAGGCCCAACTAGACTCAGTATGACCTGAAATCCACAACCATCCATCAGATGCTTACGGCTAGAGATGATATAGTCTTTGGGTGTTCAAGCCATATCGGTAATAGTAGCAGATAAATCCAGGTTAACTTACAGGTAAGAAAACGAGCCCATGCAAGAAGCCGATTATAACCAAAGCCAAGTACATTTGGAAGTAGTACACCTGTATGCACAAAACACATATCCATTTGAATTAACTCAAGCGAGAGACCAAGAACTGCACATGGCAACGAACTTGGATGTCCTTACCACAAATATCTCTGATCTTGCAAAGCAAAGCACCATCACTCCAACAAGTTTTGTGAGTGTGATCCCACTGTCCCGAACAACATATTTTTCATTCATTTAGTCCCAAAAATTTGACCACCAAAACAGTTAGACTAACACCTTTGCAAATAAGAAAAATCTTGCTTAGGAGAAAATTTAAATTATAGCAACCACAAGCTTTATCACCTAAATACGGAACCTCCCATGGTTTCCAGTGCCCCCCTTGCTCTTTGTTCTCTGTTACCACTACTCATCTGCATTTGAACCAGTGGAGGAATAAACATTTTTTTCCCATAACAGATCCACACAAGGTTAATAAGTGACATGGCTTGTTCTGCATCCTTAATCCTCTTAACCAAGAACTAATTGACAATAGTGAGGCAAGTTGTTCTGCTATAATGTTACTACATGACTACAGATTGTAGAGCCAGTATATGCAGTATAGTGTAGGGGTAAGATTACAACGGGACATGGCTTGTTCTTACCAGGAAAGCATGCGATATGTGCACACAGAATTCCACAGCAATCCCGATTGACATGATCAAATTTACAACAGAAACTGCATTGAGTTGGATGCCCAGAATCACCATCATGCCCTGCTCAAACAAATCAAGGATGATGATCCCTCATGTATAACAATTAGCGCTCAGAACCGCATGAAACAAAATCCAATTTGGGACAATATTCTATGGATCTGTGCTGTAAAACATGTACCATGAGATCCAAGAGTATCATCACTAAAACAAGGACAATGATGGCTGAACTCCAGGCACTGAAATCGACAGGTTAACAAGAGAAACCAACATCAAGACATCTCCACATCCTAAGATTTCGCATAATGAGTAGAGAGAGAACTGACCTGGAAGTCATTAATAGGCAAACAATAAAAATAGCACCTGCCACAACAGTATGAGAGTTTAAAGAGTTGTCTTTTGGTACAAGGTCCAACAAAAACTCAAAACTTTATAGATGGGAAGCAAACCGATTGCTATAGCAAGGTTGGTCAAAGCTACTGTCCAGATATTCAGATATTGCTCGAAGAAAATGTAGAAGACAGAATATGGGAAGATCTCGATCTGCATAAAAAGGCTTATTATATAGGAAGCTTAGCAGAACAAAAAAAGTCATGGTGGATCATCCTCTACAAGCAAAGCCAGCTAATCTATCCTACTTCTTTATAGCAAAATTCATCACCAGGTTCGTACCTTCAAGGAATCGGAGATTCTTGAACTGAACTCCCGAGCAGCTCGCAGTGAATTAACATAGTCACCCTGAGAAAAAATTTCATAGACTATAACTCAGGATATCTCACTTGTAAGTTTTCTTTGATAAGTTTCTTGCCAGAAACAACAGTGTCATACTTGTGTGTTAAGTGGAGTGTGGTATGTACGGAACTCAGATGCCTGTATAACACCAGTCTCATACCCTGAAAAAATCAAGTGTCCAGAGAAGATGGTCAGACCAAAAGCAAATAAATTGAATAAAGTGAAGTGCAAGTAAATTTTCTCTATAAGCTAATTCTAGAGTACCTTTTAAATCCACGCTATTCGTATAAGCCCCATGACCACCCTTTGCACAGTCAGCCGATGGCAAAGCATTTAGAAACCAGGGTAGTTTCTCCCTGAATTGAGCTGTAGAGGGACGATCCTGAACCAAATCTGAGTGTCGAAAGCACTGCATGGTTTACAGAATTAGATCTGTTCTAAATATTCTTGAGAGAGAATGTGAGTGAGAGAGAGGCTTACTGTAGTACAGTCTTTACAGATCCCATCTAAACCGCATATATCTTCTTCAGGCGTGCAGCAAGGTGGCTGTAGCTTGAGAATTCAAGTTAGAAACTGGAACACCAGTTTGCATTTTAAACAGCTGATTGATTATAGGGTATATTAGGTATTAAACAAATATCAGAAACTAGCCTATGAACCATTATCGTTTCTTCTGTGATTTAATAGAGAGCTATATCCTTTTACAAAGAAACTGAGAAAGTCAATGTAGTTTCCACAATAAGCTCTAGGAGTAAGACTGACCTGGTCATCTGGAGGACAATAACTATCATTAGTGAACTTCCGACAACAGCCAAAAGCCTCTGGTGATAGCCATACAAGAAAATCATCGAGCCAAGAAGCAGCTGGTTTGGCAATGTAACTTGTTTCTGGAGCCTGTGACGCTTTTGATATCTAGTAGAAATGAAGGTGTGGAAAACAAAGAATATTAAGGACTAGACCCTTTTTTGTGGCTCTTTATAATATGATCAGCCTTGGTGGCACCATGAGTGGTCTTTACCGAACATACATCAAACTTGTAAGAACTCATAATCATATGATGACATTAGCAGAGATAAATCACATCAGTTACTGACTAAAATGCAGATCATTTCGAACAGAGCATCTTCGCCAAATATTTCACTTACCTCATTTAATAGGGAATTTGAATTGCATTTGCTGATAGAGCACAACTGATTTGTTTGACTTGATTCCAAGCTGCCAAAAGAATCCATTTCAGTACAAAAAACAGCTAGATAATAAACCGTACCAGAGAGAGTGCTTTTTGTGCGTGTGTATCAGATAGAGAACCTATAATTGTAATCCTTGACTACAAAATACAAAGGTGGCCCCACTCTGAGGTACTCTGCGAGACTATCGAAATAGTCCTGTCAAATAAAATTCCAATGTGATTGGGAGAAATGAGCAAGAAGAGAACACAAAGAGAACAACATAAAGGAGTAGTGATAAAAGGAACACACTAAACTTGAAGGTAAGAGTCCCGAGGAAGAACAATTTGCTGCTCCAAGCCAGTTTCAAGCCTTGGGCTTAGGGCCTGATTGAAAAAAAACAGAGGAATTTTACACAGACAGATAAAAATAACAACTCATAATTACAGAAAAAATGATATAATTCAGGCCCTGTCTCTCTGAAAACTCTTTGGATGATATAGTTATATTGTAGCGCTATTTCAAAAGAAGTGTTAAAATGGAAAAATGGTGTGTCTATATAAATACTGAAAAGAAAACAAATGAGTACAATGTAGTCAGCAACTTACAATGCTTGCCAGCGCAAAAGCCACGAATACAGCGACAACAACCATTTTAACAACCCAAAGTCCAAGAATGGGTGCATGAACCTCCTGAGGAACACCATGACTAAAGAATCAGCAAGATTGCAGACTGTACTTACATGAT